TTCCACTATGGCTAATGTAATGGCAAGCACTAATGAACGTGAAAAAGATACACATGAAATAGAGAAAAAATTAGTGCAGCAGAGTGAACAAGTGCTAGAGGAACTACTCTCTCTCAATTTACAGGATGTCACTCCTAAACAAGTGTTTGAAGTTGCCGAAGATCTAGCTTCGAAACCACACAAGCTTATAATATTTTCAAAGTGTCCAGACGCTTTGAAAAGTAGTTATGTTAAGAGTCTTATTAGGGAAAACAATGATGCTTAAAACTTTTATCGTGGTTAACTCGTTTGTGTTGAATTAGGTGTTATGAACTTTGGTATGTTTAAAACTTATGTTGTTGTTTCGGAATAGTATTTTGGTATGATTAAAATTGTCATGGTCTGTGAACAATATTTTGGTATTTTTTCAAAAAATATGATATGAAACAGGTCTATTTTGGAATATTACAGGAAAATATGGAAAGTATATTTTTTTATGTTACAGGTAACTATGGAAAATATAAAAATAGCATATTACTTTTTTTCATTTTACAGGTCTATTATTCCATATTACAGGACCATATTTTATTTTCTTATTTTTGGGTTTATTATATAAAAACAGGTTATTATACGAAAAAATAGAGAGAAATTTTAAAATTCCTGGTTTGATTCCCTAGTTTGAACCAAACAGCAGCAAAGGGAATCAATGAACAGTTAATTCCGTTTTCTGGGCACAACCAAACAACTTGTCCAGATTAGGGGAATTCCTTTCCTTTCTCCTACATTCCCTTTCTGCATTTCATTCCGATTCCCCTGTGCAAACCAAACGGCCCCTAAGAGGCGGGGGGGGGGGGGGGGGTAAGGGAATCCCCACCCTAAAGTGCCTCTAGTGGGGGTTTGGTTGTGAGATCTAAACCTTACCACTGGACCAAGCTATGCTTGGTGTATTCTGTAATGAAATGAGAACATGTATAAGTAGTATACTAGTATATAACAAGTATATAGTTATCGAGTTTTTGTATTGACAATTATTATAATTTTTGTCAGAAAATAACGATATATGACCCGGCGTTTGAGCCTAAAATCTGACCCGATCCGACTTGATTCGGCCTAAAGTAATCCGACTCAAACCCTATTTGACCTGATTAACTGTTGACCCAAAATATAAAGTGACCTGACCCAATTATTTATTGACTCGACCCAAACCCGACTAGTCGGCCAGGTCTAATTATACAAGTATGGTTAAAAAAATTAAAAAGTTTTTTTTTAAAAATAAATAAAAAACCGATGAACGTAGTCCTACTGTCTTCCTCCCCTCGTTCTCAATTTCCCATTGAAGTGCACCACGTTCTCCATTGATATTTCTATCCTCCATTAAAGCAGTTTCTGAGGTAAGTTGTTGTTCCTTTTTGCAATAATCGAATATCAATTTCACAATCTAGGGCTTATCGTTGATCTAATTTAATTTAATTGTCAGTATCAGTATAGTAAATTTAGGGTTCGAATTTTTGGACTATTGGTTCTAATTACTAAGGGTTCTGAAAGATCATAACGAGCGATTATGTTGCCAGAGAAGAAAATTATGAGCCTAATTTGATGATTGAATCAAATGTGCCTTTTCTCCCTAAAATTATGTGATTTTTGGAGCCTAATTTGATAGTTGAATCAAATGTGCCTTTTCTCCTTCAAATTATGTGATTTTACGAGTCTAATTTGATAATGAATCAAATGTGCCTTTTTTCTCTAAAATTATGTGAATTTTCGAGCCTAATTTGATGATTGAATCAAATATGCCTTTCTCTTTAAAATTATGTGATTTTTCGAGCCTAATTTGATAATTGAATCAAATTTGGCTGCTAATGTGTTGCAGAACCTTTTAATGTTAGGATTGAACTATGAAATTGGATCTGTTGGCCTGGGCTGTGAGAATACTAAGAGAAATGTTTGTGTAAGACGGCCTTACTAGACCACTTTTGTGAGTCACTACAAATCTATCCCAGGTCTAATTTAAAAAAAAAATGTTTATTATATTAATACAGTATTTAACACTTCATTCAATAAGCATAGAAATAGGTTCTAATCCATGTTTATTAATGATTTTGGCTAGATTGTAGTCTTGGCGCATTATGGATGCAAACAGAGATTCAGGGGGTAGAATTTTCCGGAACAAAGAACGGCCATCATATGCTCCATACCAAAAGGATCGTAGATGTTTTAGGTAACCTCTCTTAATTTTTTTTTTTTTTACTTTTTTTTGGAAGGGTGGGGTGGGGGCTAGCTTGTGTTATACATGTGTGCTCAATTGCTCATGCATATGTATTTTAAATGTCATTGTCGAACTTGTTGTTCTAAATCTAGATATATGGAATTGTTTATATCTTGAGACTTATATTGACCTGCATAATTAATTTTTCAAGTAAACTACGCTTGTTACGTCGGGGTACATGCTAATTGACATTTGAATTGAGTGTCTATGATACGCGTCATGTTTGTTTGGTTTTTTTTTTTCGTTATTGTATCATGAGATCAGGTTTTGAGACACACATATGATATGTATAGCATGCTTTCTTTTTTGATTTGATGTCATGCATTCATGGCTGGCGCATGCTATGGATGTAATGCTTACATCTCTCAATTACATGACGTGTCTAGTTAAGAAGAAATTAAGAAAAGGTGGAACTACCATTTGTACCCATTTTTCAATGGTGGCATTACAATTTTGAGATGCTTTGTCCATCCCCATAAGTGGCTATAGAGAACCTTTTCTTTTGAAATTCTGAAAACTTGAATTTATTTGGGAATGAAGGAGCATATGCTATACAGATTACCTGCTATGCTATCTAAGCATGATAAAAGAAGAGGGGGGGGGGAGGGGGTTAGGGACATACTTTAGGCTCCTCTTTAAAGTTTTCTCACCTCCTCAGATAAGTGACTCTGTGACAGCCATTGTATGTAGTTTACAAGCCCTTCTGGTTGGTATGGAGAAATCATCAGCAACTTTAATTAGTATGAGGTCTATAGGATAAAAGTCTCCTGAAAATGACAGCGTTAAGCGTGAATGTTATTGGCCTTGGCTAAAGCAGTAGCATATTTGTTGCTATTATTGTTTAGAAGGGCTGAGTTATGATGTGTTCACTAGATGTGGTTGCTGCTCATTCAATATTGCAGGGGCTTCACTCTTCAGTTACCTTTATGTCTTGGTGGGTAGTCTGATGGTTGTTTTCAGTGGTGGATCTTAGTGTGTTTTGAATAATGATCAGCTAGGGCATTTCTTCAGGGGATAACTTTCCCATGGTTTTTTTGTCCTTATTTATTTTTCATTTGTGGAAACAAAGGCAAATTAGGAGCAGTGGAAGAGAAGAACAAGGAGGTTAAAATTTGATGCTTTTTAGCCCACTTTGTGATTTTCTACACAACAGATACTTTTGGCTGTTACTTTGATCATATTTAGAAGTTATCAACATATATGGATAGTCAATTTCTGATTTAGTGTCTGTAAGGAACTAAGGACTATACTAACGGCCCGTTTGGTAGCCGGTAATAAATGGTGGGTATTGAAATGAAATTTAAGTGTGATAATTGGAATGAATTTTAAGTGTAATTTAGGAGTGAAATTAACATTGTAATCTCCATGGTAATGCAATTTCAACCTTAGGCATGTGTTCATTTTTTTTCAATTACCATCCATTACCACTTGGGAGGAGGTATAGGGTTGAAATGAAAATTTCTAAAGGAAAATGGTCATTTTGGGGTAAGCTAGCATTATCATGGTCATAAACCTTGATTTATCTTACTATTTTAAATACAAATTCATATCTGTTTCTATCGTTTATGGCCACGTACCAAACAAGCCATAAGTTTAATCTGTTGGCTTGATTAGAATCGAAGGAGTGGTAAAATTTACAGCCTGAAGCATCTCTAAGGACTGGAAGTTAATAAGTGGTTTGCCTAATTCTTAAATGGAAAGTTGAAAAGATTGAAGTACCTTAAGGTTTCATTTTGGAACATAGAGTTGATTATTAAAAATACTAATTGTTCTGGAATGTTAATTTTTACATTTCCATTTCACAAATGTTTGGATAATTGGAAGAAATTTCACAGTTGTTTAATCCAAATGCACTAATTGAAGAGGAATCAAAGAACAATAGAATTATAAGATATAGGATGGAGAACATGCAAAGTTTAGGGGGTGGGGCAATCAAAGATTTTACCCTTTGTGACACTGTCAGTTTATCATCATTATTTCTGTTATGATGTATAAACCATCATAAATTCATTATCATCATTTGTCAGCACTTCATTTTCAAAAGTTACTCATGATTGGAGGGGAAGGGTTTGTGATGGATTATTTAGGAGAGTGCTTGAAAATTGAATGAGAATTTAAGTACAGTTCTAAATTGATGTTGAAGTTTTGAAAGTAATTGTGCATAAGTTTTTTGATGGCAAATTAAAAATGTACCCCCCGGCAGACCGTTAACTGCAAAAGGCGAATTATAACATGAAAGTGGTACATTTTCTTGCCTAATTTAACATATTAGGAAGCAAATTGTGGATTCGTACCCAATCTCATATTAGCGAGTTAGGTAACTATGTTTGAAACCCAAATTGCTGTAATGTCCCTGAGAAATATATCATTATAAGAACAAACAATTGTTTGGTTGGCTTAATTTATGTTACTTGCTTAATATTATTGCTACGGTTACTGTTAATGTTTTTATTAGATTGCTATATGCCTATATCTCAACTATATGCATAGGCTAATCTCCCTATTTTTTTTTCCTTTGGTTAGTGGAAAAGCTGATTTTCATGTGCAGTAATTGTTTGATATTATAAGATCATCTCATGTATTGTAAAAAAATCAGTGAAACTATTATAATAATATATTGTTTCCATGTGCAATTGGACTTTTTGTTTTACATATTAGCTACTCCATCCTCAAATAAAAGTCTTATTTGCCTTTAGTTCAAGTTTTTAGGAAGGTGATTAAAAAAAGATAGAAGGTTTGGTTGATTAAAGGTAAATATTAAAAAAAAAAAATAGTGTTTTGTTGATTAAAAGTGAATAAAAATAATAATAATTAGCTTAAGGTGAAATATGACTTATTTAGGAACAAGGATTTTAGGTGAATGGGACTTTTATTTGGGTACAAAGGGAGTTTGCCTTTTATTTATTTTTGAAGAATGTAGTTATAATCATACTATTTGTGTTTTATTTAGTACATTATATTGAACTCAATTAACTAATTTCAATACATGTTTGATGGCTGCTCAATGAAATAAATATATTGGTCTTGTTTGGCAATCTTTTGATGGTTGTTGGCTTTTTTAACTTGGTATTTATCACCTGTTTTAGTTGAATTAGTTGTTTATATAAAGTATCAAAAAATTTCTTGTTTTTGTCTGTCAATTTTTAAAATAAACAAAATTTTCAAATTGTCTTTAAATGCTAGCTCATTAATTGTTCTAGTCAAGGTTCACAACAACCATCTACCTAATTTATGTTTGGGCTATTTAACCGCATTGATTACTCAAAGCCCCAAGTTACTGAAAAAAGGCCATTTTCTTCTTATCAAGCTTATTTGACTTCTTGAACAGAATATCTTTCCTCTGCTCCTCTAGTGCTGCAAGTCTTGCAACATGGGGGAGTGCACACAATTTTAGATGTTGGGTATTTTCTAAAGCAACAAGCATAAACAAGTAAAAGTATATTGAGTATGTTTAATGTGAAAGGCGATGTAAGTTTTCCTAAAATGGGTATTTAGCTATTTACAAGGTCAATGTTTCTATGTATTAGAAATGGGTGAAGTATTATCGTTCCAAAGTTTTCTTCAACCAAATCTCATGGTTAGATATTATAATCATATTGCATGTATAATTGTTTAACTTATGTTATAGGCCCAAAAAATCTATGGGCTGTATATATCTATTTTGATTACCTCTTATCTTTATTCTTACTCTAAAATTTGCATAAAATGCTAGATTGACATTTTCTTTATGTCTGAAGAGTTCCTCTTATACTTATTAAATTATCATTATTGATTTTCAACCTGTATATCATGTGGGATATTTGTTTTGTTTTCTACTGTTGCCGATATTCGTAATACATATTTAAAAATCTCATATTGGTTGATGAACCGTGTGCTAATTACTTGTATGTCTTTCCAACATTTTAGGATTATTTATTAAGTCTTCTTTCTCAGATGAGCTTTCTGCTGATGACTTTTTTTTTTTTTTCCTATCCTTGTTTTTATTCCACCATTACTAATTACTGCTGTTAATATAAATTGCTTTTCCAGGCAAAGTTATCTATGTAAGAACTGTAAGCGGCCTGGGCATTTTGCTAAAGAATGCCCAAATGATTCTGTGTGCAACAACTGTGGTCAGCCTGGGTAAGTATATGAACCTTTGTCGCATAGTAAGTTCAAGTTATCTAATAAGGCTACCCTTGGTCTACTGTTTTATTCTGCTTTAATTGAGTGTGGGATTATCTTTGCAAAAATCATTGTCAAATATATGTGCTATGATTTTCTTTTAATTTTTGATTTTTGAATTTTCTATTTCCTTATTCAACAGGGAGAGGGAGAGGGCTAGGGGAAGATTAGTTTTAATTTAATTCCTGGAAACCCTGTGTCTACCTGTGGCGAATAACGCCTCCCGCACTTTATTAGAACCCTGACTTGACTTTATGGTGTGGAGGGAAATGATCCTTTTGTGAGAGTTTGTTGACTGCTCTGTCAAGATTTAACGAAACCCTGAAGTCATATGCTTAGTTAAGCAACCAGACCATGATCAGTATTTGATTCCGGGAATTGCTGTTAGAGCTCTTAAAGGTTCTATTTAGGGAAGGAAACAAATTTATGTATAATTAGGCTAATCACTGCATGGGGTAGGCCAGAAGTCCAGAACTATAATTTAAAGGGCTGGTGAACATGAGTTTTTATGGTGGATACTAGGGTTGCTAATAAAACGGTTGGCAATGTTAGCCCCTGAGATGGGTATTTTCTGATGAATACTCTTGTTGCAGATTAGTTTTCACACTTATCAGGGCGCATAGTCTTAGTCTTGGCAATAAGTTTTTGTTTGGTTATTTAATATTTTTTAACTAAAAGTAAATATGATAGAATAGTGGGGGTTTTTTTATTGAATGAAAGAGTGTGGGATCCTAAATTTTGTATGGGAAGAGAAAAATTATTAAATATTATTAGGACCTTTCCTAAATTAGAACAAAGTTAGTAAATATTCGCAATAGGAAATGATAAGAGTACTCATTAAACTTTGATTCAATCAATTATAGAGACAATTCAGACAAATATAAATGCTGGAGAGAAATGTTCTTTGGATTGTTGCTATTAGAAAAGTGAGTGTGATGGTTCACTTACAATTTAGTCTTATGGTTATTGTGAAAATGTGTTTGAAAGGATTGAATAGTTTGACAGCTTATGTTGCCTTCTGTTTAATTTCTGCAGGCCCTGATCAGTTATTTTGTAGTTGGTGCAAAGTTTTTTTTTTGTTTTTTGTTTTTTATACATTTATTCTTTGGACCATATATTCAGTTTTTCTGCATATTTGAGGCCAATTCAGTGACTAGAAGTAAAACTTCAATAGAATTCCCAAGAGAGATCAGTTATTCAGTGCTTTGAAATCTATGCTGAAATCACCACTATTTGTTTCACTCGGGAGATGAGGTGTATTGTACATAACTAAAAAGGTCTGGATGAAAGCGACAATGTTTATACTCACCTGGTTGCCCATATTCTTTTTGCTAGTTATGAGATCAGTTGCTAGATACTGTCAACCATTATAAATTAGTGGGGACTTGCAAAGTTTTGATATGATAAATGGAGTGTGGATAAACTTTTGCAATAGGGGTTATGCCCTGTTTTGAAGGTGGTAATAAATGTTAGAAATGAGAATGAGTTTGTATGTATATATGTAAGGAAAGTCCTATGCCAATTTCCTAGGTATCATCTTCTTTAGATCTTAACTGAAGAATGAATTGGTGAGAGTTAGTAATTAGGAAATTAGAAACATCTGAAGTGGTGCTATTGATTTTAAATTCCGTACCAAACCCATTTTGCTTTCCGCATCGCTCATTTTACAAACTTAAAGCTGTTGTGATCATTTTAATGAAGCCCTTATCTACCTGTAGCATTCTAAAGGGTAGTGCTCTTTAACAAATTTTAGTACTTCCTCTTTTTTTTTTTATTTTTTTTTATTTTTTTTTTATGGCCCACTAGATTTAGGCACACATATCAAGGAAGGGTGTAAAATAATGTCAAAAGACAAATTTACTCCTGCCAACTAACCCCCCTTCCCCACTACCGATATCGCCACCATAGCCACCTACACCGCCAGGTCCGCCTCCATCCAGACTACTGAAAAATAGCGCATCCCTTCACCGTCGAAGTAGAGAAACAAGAGGAGAGAGACAAGACCCACCCTCGAACAAGTCAACTACCACCACCAAAATTGACATTGACGATGTAGTAAGACCAATCATCTCACCGGTACTACTGCTCCAATACGCTGTCGTATTTCTCACCACAGTCCATACCACCACCAAAGTAAACATACGAGAGGAAATTGAAAATACCCACTCTCCACCAACCACCGTCACATAAGAGCAAATTTGTAAGAAATCAAAAGCTTTTAGGTCGAATTTGGCTATGATGGTTTCAGATTTGGATAGCCGGCCAAATTCGACCACCATGGCCTTGGGTTTGATAAACTTTGAGAACTTCTACAATTGACGGTGATTGCGACGGTACGAAGGTAACAAGAGAGGGTGTGAGGGGAGAGGGGTGGAGGCCTTGGAGGGCTTTGCCGGTGAAGATGAGAGATAAGTGTGGTGATTGATGTTTGTTAGTGTTTCAATAATAAGGGTGGTGGTGACGGTAGTTGCCTGGATAACTTGGAGGGGGGGGGGGAGGTTCTGTTGGTGATCTGTGAAGAACTATGGGTCTTGGTGTGTGATGAGGTGAGAGAGGAGGGAAGGTGATAAGGATATAGTGGGTTAATGTTGTTGAAAAGGTGAGCGTAAATCAGTAAATGTGTATTGTCAAAGTTGCCTAAAAAAGGAAATGGGTCAAGTAATAAGAAACTGCGGAAAAGGAATGCAGGTCAAGTAATAAAGAACGGAGGAAGTAATTTGCTGTGCTAGATTCTCAAGTTGAGCTAAGAAGCGCTGACCTAGGATTCTAGACTTGGTTCTCATTCACACACATACACACACGAAAAAGGAAATAAGGGTATAAAAGTCTCACATCCACACACACACACACAAAATAAAGGTATAAAATACACACACACACACACAAGAATAATGAAATTTGATCAAGAAAAGATATAAAATTCACAATTTTGCTTTCCTACCTGGTCCTAGTTTTCTTTCTCTTCACTCTTCATAGTTCCTCTCTTTAACAGCTCCTCCTCTTTGCCTTCACCACCACGGCAGCAGGCTCATCATGTCGCAGTGGTGCACTTGATTTTTGTTTATATTTTACTGGATGGTAGTGGCTTGATTTTCATATTTCAGCCTCTTGGACCAACTGGAGAGTCGTCCCTTCTCTTATCTCTCATCCTGAACTTTTCTGTCCGTTCTCTCCCTCCCATGATTTTTTAGTGTTTGCTTTCCCTGAATTTCACTGTGCTTACTGGCCCTACTTGTGTTGCTCTTGGATAATAAAATTACTGAGTTGCCTGCCATCAGTGCCATGACTTATCATTGCACTAATTCAATGAAATAGGCATCGTTGCACATTATAAGTCTCTCTCAAAAACTCTTATCACTTCATCTAGTCGTTGTGGGACATTTGTGATTAGCATAAATGTCTTTTATTTGTGATGGAATATTTTTCTAAAAGGCTGTTTCGTTGACATTCTTAAGTCAGGAAAATGAATGTTTTTTTTTCCTCTTTTCTGAAATTTTTTCTAATTTTTGATATATTTCATTTCTGATATCAACCTCCCCATTGTTGAAGGGCAAAATTTTGAGTTCCCAAATTGATTTGGCCTGGGGATAAGCAATGCTTGGAATTCATAAGCTAAGTCATGTTGGTAAATGTTAGTCCTGTCTGAGCGCATTAAATTCCGCTAGGCATGCTTCTGTGATTGTTGGTCAAGCTCTTTAAGCTTTCCGAGTTGTGAAGAAGATGCTTGTTTCATTTGATGTGAAGTTAACGCTACGCTTAGAAAGCAGCATTGTCTTGTTGGTGTCTGTCTACTTGATGGTGACTCCACAAAGTTTTGGAAGTTTGATAGCAGGGCAATATCAAAGCCGCTGCTGATTCTAATAATCGTTTAGGGATTGTACTTGGTTTGATCTGTCTTCTCTTCTCCTTAATTTTTGTGCCTTTCTCTTATGTTAACTTTTAACTGAGACAGGGAATAGCTTATTAATATTCTGTAAAATTTTAAATCTGGCCCCTTAATTCTCCCCTGGGTTTTTTATGTTATTGATTTGGAAAATTGTTGAATCATCTCATCTACATATGTGGGTGTAACCTTCTCAGTTGTAGGGTTTCCTGCTAATGGATATATGCATAATATATGTTGCACCAACCTATGGAACTTTTTTTTATTTTTCTGGCTCTCTGGCTTATCATTATAGAAGCTCCACTTGGTTAATAGTAATTTTCATGGCTTTTAGGCACATGGCTGCTGATTGTAACTCAAAAACAATGTGTTGGAACTGCAAAGAACCAGGTCATCTTTCTACCGAATGCAAGAATCAACCTATTTGCCACTCCTGTGGGAAGATGGGTCATCTGGCCCGAGAGTGTCCAAAATCAAGCGATCCTAGAGTTTGCAGCAATTGTTTCCAGCCAGGCCATTTGACAGTGGACTGTATGAATGAAAAAGCATGCAACAAGTGCCGAAAACCTGGCCACCTTGCTCGTGACTGTCTCAATGAGCCTATTTGCAACAACTGCAATTTAACTGGACATATGGCCCGCTATTGTCCTAATCTAACTTTCCCACCACCATTGATGTTTAGGGACCCTCCACCCATGCTTGGTGGCCCACCACCTATTCCTCCGCCCATTGCTGGGGGTCAATTGTATGATATCTTCTGTCAAAATTGTGGACGTCTAGGACACATAAGTCATCAATGCATGTACATGATTATGTGTGGTGCCTGTGGTGGCCGTGGTCATCGATCATTTGAATGCCCATCAGGTCCAATGCTTGATATGAATCATATGATCTATCGGTGATTTTGACAATTTACTGATATATGAAAAGTTCATTTATAGATATTCTAATCTTTGCTTAATACATCGTAGTATACTAGTATTGAACTTGGTCTTTTGAAAGAAATTGTATGTTCTATCATCTCCCCTAATTCACCGATCGTGCAGGTTTGATGATTTTACTTATTGGCTCTTTTGGTTTGGTTTGTTTTTCCTTTTTTTCGGTTGGAAATTAAAAATTGGCAAATCATCATTAAAAACAAATAAGGGAGCAGTAAAGAGTTTCATGCGATGCTTTGGATTGTTTTAGGACTGGAATAAAATTTTCGGCCCAAAAATGCCAATAAGGGTTATATTGGCTCCAGCCACGCCCTAGTTAGTCCAATTTTAGAAGACTTGGGAAATACGAATTACTACGAGTGTATGATCTTTGTTTTTGAAATTATATACTCCTTCTGTCTCTTATTTTTTTCTCTATAGAGGAAAATTACTTTATTAATTTTTGGTTGGTATATAATGACAAGGGAGAAAAATGGTGGGATAAGTGAGGTGGTTGTGAGAGTAAAGGTGTGATCTAATATGTCCAAAAATATAATGGGGCAAAATTAAAGAGACGATTAAAAAGGAAATTGGTGCAAAAAATAATGGATTGAGGGAGTATAAGGTGAACCAATTTAGTTAGGATTCACCTTCATTTCCCTTGTATTTTCCTTTCCCTTCCTATCCACTTTTCTTTGATACTCGCCCCAATTTGAAAATGACGCGAATTATTTAGCATGACTCAAACCCAAACTAGACTAGACTTGACTAGACCCGAATAAGGGTGTAAATGAATTGAGACTCAATAAACTACTCGAGCTTGAGCTCGACTGAACCTTGTTCATGTTTGTTTATTTAATAATTGAGTTGAACTTGAACAAATTTTGAAGCTACTTTAAAAAATGAGCCGAGCTTGAATAAATTTTGAAGCTCATTTAATTAATGAGTTTGAATACGAATATAGATATACTCGTTCAAATAATTTCACGAACTACTCGTTTATTTATGTTCATGAACTAGCTTGTTTTTTATGTTCATGAAATAGCTCATTTATTGTTCAATAATATATTATAATTGTCACCAATTTACCATATTTCAAAAAATCAAATCATATATTTGACTTTTAATACTCAATTATTATTATAATTTGCATAATTGCATTGTAAGAAACTTCCCAAAAGTGTAGAATAATTAAGATCTATTTATTTTTGGTGATTTTGATATTTTTAACCGTCAAAAACACAAAGCTTATTTATTAGAGAAACTCGCTGCTTAAAAAAGCTCGATTATCAATTTGTTTAATGATTGAGTCGTTCGCGAACACCATAGTGTACTAAATGAATCGAGATTGAGTGCATTTTTGAGGTCGTTTAAAGTCTCAAAATTAAGCTCGAACTCACCTAGATTAACTAAATTTCAGCTTGAACAGAGTACGACTCGACTCGACTCGATTCATTTACACTCGTAAATCCAACCCACCCAATGACTCGAATTGACACCTCCACAATGTTGGATAGTCGAAAAATGAAAAAACAAAAAATATAGTACTCCTCCGTAAAGAACACCAACATCAAATTCACATTAAAGCCCATCCTCCCCGAAAAATAAAACAGAATCAATACATCAGTAAAAAAGCCCAAGAAAATGCATGAGTAACCAAAACCCTAACCCTATAAACACCCCTCGTAAAAATTCTAATTCGCACACTTTACCCTATTTCCGCCCAACCCCCATTTTCACACCCACTTTCTCTCTCCTCCTTCCGCCGTCGCTCCCTCTCTCTCCAAAATGCCGCCGAAGCTCGACCCATCCCAAGTCGTCGACGTCTTCGTCCGAGTCACCGGAGGTGAAGTCGGAGCTGCGAGCTCACTCGCCCCCAAAATCGGACCCCTCGGTCTTTCCCCGAAGAAAATCGGAGAAGACATTGCCAAGGAAACTGCTAAAGATTGGAAGGGTCTTCGTGTTACAGTCAAGCTTACTGTTCAGAATCGTCAAGCTAAGGTTACTGTTGTTCCTTCTGCTGCTGCGTTGGTTATCAAGGCGTTGAAGGAGCCTGAAAGAGACAGGAAGAAGGTGAAGAATATCAAGCATACTGGTAATATTTCTCTTGATGATGTTATTGAGATTGCTAAGATTATGAAGCCTAGATCTATGGCGAAGGAATTGAAGGGTACTGTGAAGGAGATTTTGGGGACTTGTGTTTCTGTTGGGTGTACTGTTGATGGGAAAGATCCTAAGGATTTGCAACAGGAGATTGCTGATGATGAGGTTGAGATTCCGGAGAATTAAGGGTTTTTTTTTTTTTTTTTTTTTTTTTTTTTTTTTTTGATTTGGGTAATTTTGATTTTTGATGGAATCCTTGATTTTGGTTTTTAATGAGGTAATTGTTATGATTAGGGTTTTGATGGATGAGTTTTGCAGAAAAATTATGTTATATTTTGATAATTTTGAGTATGGATATGTTTTTCTCCGTCATCTCCTTTTTATAATTGCATATGTTATCATGGATTTTCTTGGGGATCATTAATACAGTAGTTTTGTTTAATCTTATCTGACTATTCTATCAAATTCGTTGCTTTATCTTTGATTAATCATCTGTTGATTTGGTTGATATTGGTAATTGCTCTGGAATGTTGTTTGGGTATGATTGATTTTGAATTTGTTAACAGTTGATTACTCCTTTTCAATTTAATTAGAGCTGTGTAATATATTGAAGTCATTTTTGATAGTTCAACTGTTTTTGAATCTTATCTGACTATTCTATTGAAATAGTTGCTTTATCTTTGATTAATCATCGATTGATTTGGTTGATTTTGGTTAATTGCTCTGGAATGTTGTGTTGGGTATGATTGATTTTGAATTTGTTTAACAGTGGGTTGCTCTTGTAATATTGAAGTCATTTGTGATGTAAACTGAATACGAATCGGTTTATGCTATAATTACTGATAACTTCACTGTGTAATTCAAACTGCTTTATTTTATAATGTTGCAATTATCTGAAAGAGGTTTTTGGTAATGTAGATTGGACTTTGTTCGAATTTGTTTTAACCTATAGTGTGGTTACTCATATCCAACCATACTGTTTGTGGGTTCAAGTTTATGGATCGACATTCAGCAGAATGCTTGAGCAATTGTGTTTGTTGGCCATGCTCGCTTGCGCGGTCTTGAATAGGTGTTAGATGTTCTTATACTAGCAATTTTATCAGTACACTACATTAGTCCATGAGTTCAGAATAGATTGTACACCTTATTGGGATTTCTATATTCCTTACAATCCTTGGTAATTTATAGCATTGGTGATATTGGTTGCCTAAGCCTTTGGTCGACTAAAACTAGTATTTTGCCAAGTATCTACACAATCTCAACTTAGCATTGGTTTTGGCTAGCCTTGATAGGGGATCATGGATTCATGAATCATGCTTAGGGGTTAATAATTGAGCGAGCCGAGACTGAGCTTTGTCTAGCTTAAAGATTATATGCATAGTTTACCATTGATCAATCTACTATACTTCCAACTTGGCTAAAAAGGTTTTACTTGCACGTACTAGTAATAGATAACAGCAGAGATGGAAAAAGCAATTTGAGAAGATTGCTGTAACTTGTGACTTGTGAGTGATATCCTGCTACAAGACTTTGATGTAAGAGGGCTGTTACTAGTGAGTTATGAGTTATGTGGCTGTTGTGATTGATATCCTGCTGCATGTTTAACCACATTGTAGCTGCTCTAAATAGGTTTCAATTCGGGTGTCTGGGTCACGTTCGGTGAGGTTGGGTTGGGTTTATTTCAAACTTTAGATGTGCTAAATATTGTGTTCATGTGAGTCAAAATCTGAATCGGGTATTTTTCAAGTCGGTTTCAGTTTGGATTGGTTGAGGTAGGTTTTAACACCTCTAGCTCTGAATATGAAATTTTTATGAAATTTTCTTCAAATTTCCAGCTTATTTTACCCCACCACCCTCACTCTTTTACTGGCTTGGTTCCTGGTAACATATTGTTTGGGATTTCCATGTATGATCACGCAATTTATTCAAAAAACATTTGTCTTGATTTGTGTTGAACACCTTAATTCATCAAGTAATCAAATTATTCGAAGAAAGATTAATTTAACTTGTGATGGTCATCATAATTATCAAGAAAATCATCCTGACATGCACAACGTACAAGGATATATTTACATTTGTATAATCTCTATTAGTCAGTAAAACATAGTCCATGATCAAAAGGCCAAAATCATCTTTGATCCCGGGAAAACATTTCTACTGAGGCAATTGCACTTGGTGAGCAGAACATAGTCTCGGCCAGTCGGCTGGACCTACATACGGATTAGGAAGTCTTTATTTTATGTGTCGACGCAGGCGTCACCCAGAAAGCAAACCGGGAAGGCTAGCCTTGTAAACACTTCTTCCATAGTGTTACGGTCTAGGATTTTGGGCACCGGAACGTGCGATGCGCTCTAGGCTTTTGGCGGCAAGAATGCTAGCCTTGTGCGGAATTGGGGCTTGTCAGCACAAAGCAACACAAGTGGGCAATTAAATCTCAGGAGCACTCACGTCTATTTGGGCAACGGTGTGCAGGTGGTCGGGGCTTGTGACAGCTGATACTTCAAGGAGGGCACAAGCGGGTTTGAACCACGAGTTCATAGTGCAACATATTGGTGTGGAGGGGAGCTATTATACAAGTAAGACACAATATTTATAAAAGTATAACAATAAACAAGCATAAAAGCAAGGGAACACTTGGTAAAAGGCTTAAGATTTCATTCAATCATTCACCCTCTAACGAGCTTAAAGTAGTACATGCATAAAATCCCTAGTGAACACTGAAGTGACAGTAACACAATAATGGGACCTAAGGCTTAGAAAACATAAAGTAAACTCTATGAAAGCATCTAAAGGGCATCTAATACATCAAAAGGAGTTGGATTCTAACATCCTCCCCCACTTAAGTTGTCGACGACCTCGTTAACTTACAAGAATTATAATTAAAATTTGAAAATCCTAATCTATCTTGAGTCTCTAGTGCGCCGTTGATGCGGCTGGGTTGTTGAATCCTCGTTGACTCTGGATCTGGATCTTCGTTGTTGCCGAGGAGTTTGTCTCCGGGGTGGCTCTTCTCGAACAACTTGTTGAGAGTTTCATCTCTGAGTTTCCTTCTGGGAGTTGCATCTTGTGGCTGGTGCCTCTTGGGTATCAATTCTCTTTGTGATCCCCTACACGCGACCTATATTGTTGGCTCGACCACTATACTCCCTTTCTCTTGGGAGGTTCCTCTTTGGTGTCTCTGGGCTTTTCACTGCTTACTTCCAACAGTGTTTCTGATTCTTGTTTTGGCAGGGGTGTATCTTCGATGTTGCGGGCTCAATGGGCTTTGATTAGGGGATTTTGCTCCCACCAATCGGAATGCGCCACGTGGACCAATCAGGTCCTGCCAAGTGTCCCCTAGTTGGAACTGTCAGGGCTTGCCACGTGGCACGCGCTTATTCGTCCACCTTGGACCTGTTATGTCACGACATGTGGCATACTCCATGCCTAATGGAGAAACCGGCCACCCAGGCCCAATTTCCGAGGGAAGCCCAATCGGCCCTAGGTTTACCTAAACCTAGGATGGGCGTGTTTCCCAAGGTTATAAATACCTCCCTTAATCCTCATTAAGAAAAAAAAAGAAGTTTTACGAAAAACATTACGGAACAAACACATTAATTACACATAGTAAATAACCGGCTGATCTCGCCAACAAAGCAGATTACCTACGCTAATCACTCTCACCTAGAGAGACCTAATCACTTTAATTTCCGTATTAATTACTCCTTAATCAGTTACTAACTTGACCGTTGGAGGCGGAGCTCACAGGAGTCTCCGTTATTTTGCAGGTACAGGCGTCCGGTTCCAGTCTTGGAATTGTAACTCTCCCGCAGGACATCAAAAAACCCCGAAACATTTGGCGCCGTCTGTGGGGAGAGTACTTTAGAGATGCCATCCAAGTCTGTACCGACTCCTGAAGAGAGGCGTCCCCTAGACGACCCTCAAGTTCAGTCGGACCATGACACCGAAAGTGAATTTGAAGTTGAAAGACATACAGCTTCAGACGGGACCCTAAGGGCCCGACGTACCCGTCGTACCGAAAGGAGGGAACGGGAGCGTCTTCAAACAGGAAGCGAGCCAGCAGGCGCACCGCCTGTTCGGCAACAGCCGACTGATGGGTCTGCTTCCATCACAAGGAACGAACTCATGACCTTCATGAGGGACTTCAAGGGAGAGATTCAAGAGTTGATCAACAAGAAGTCGACTGCTCCAGTCAAGGAGCAGTCGGCCAAGAAACCCTCCACTTCACTGAAGAGGAAGCCAGTTCAAGGGCGAGAGGCGACTCCTCATCCTAAATCTAGGAAGCGGGAGCCACCTGCCCTTTGTTTCGGGGTTTTTTGATGTGTCCTGTGGGAGAGTTACAATTCCAAGAATGCCCTTCGACGCCTGTGCCTGCAAAATCACGAAGACTCCTGGGGGTAGGAGCTCCGCCTCCGACGATCAAGTTAGTAAAGATACGGGAGGTAGAATGCACGTAATGTAGAAGTTACTTCTCGCGTAATGGGAGAATTCTGCAATTAATATTGCTCGGGGTAAGTGTTTTTCTTTTTGAGGAGTATTCAATGTGAACAACAAATGTTCCAGCCCCCCATTAATGAGGGTCCTTCCACTATTTATAGTGGGGAAGGGATGGTTTCCCTTTTAGGGTTTAGAGGACACGTGTCAGCAGAGGATTGGAGCCCTGCTGACCAACGGCTGGATGCCACGTGTCACTAGGCCATTGGGCCACGTTTTTAGGGTATTTTTACCCCAAACATTTGCCCCTCACTGGTGCTGACGTGGCAGGGTGCCACGTGGCGCCAGTGAAAGGTTTTTTTTTTTTTTTTTTTTTTTTTTTACAACTCTTCAGATTCTTTTTGAAGGATGGAAAAGCAGAAGGCGAAGAGTCACGAATTTTCACCTTCTGGGACAAATTCTATAAATAGGAGAAGATGTCCCCCGAGCTCTCATTTACAAACTTTGCCAAATTTCTGAAAATTTGAGAGCAGCCGGCAATTTGAGAGTTGAGAGCATTCGGAGTTGAGATTCGTTGAGAGCACTGGTCTACAGACCGTCTGGGTCGTTGCAAGCTAGCCAAAGGTTTTCGAGAGGGTAATCAGAGAAACCCAGCCGGATTTTGAACCGCCTGCGTCTTCGCAAGCATCCCAAAGAATTTCCAGATTTTCTTCTAGGTACCGTCTCTATTCTTTCTAGCTTTTTCATGTATTTCCGTTTGAGTCTTTTACTCGCATTTTTGCTCATTGGTCCCATAAGTAGATGGACCCCTTATACCCATACCCGGAACCTAGCTGTGAACTCAGCCGGTTTATTAGTACGGCTGAGTCTAGAACTGGGTCTGCCGCCTCTGTTCTTTGGGACAACCCTTTTTCAACACCCATATCGACCGACTCTGTGTCTGTGCAGGACACAATGGCCAGAATCCGGTCTACTGCCAGAGATCCCAACTACAGAAGTGGAAGCTCA